CCCACTAAACTTCACTGCAGTTTTATACTTAGTATTCCATTTGGTGAAGTGATAATGAATAGCCATAAAACCACATTGTACATGAACCTCATTAGTGAGGAGAAACTGTCTTTGTTTACCTGTTTGTGCACAAAAAAAAAAAAAAAATCATATCAGATATTAAAAGCTTACATTTCGAGCTGGTTCACAGCAAGACATCAGCTTGTTTTGTTCCAAATTGTTTTCGTTTGTTTTTTAATATTCACTAATTTTGTTTTATAATTACTAAAAGCTAATTTATATTGTATTTTGCTGGGGGTGGGTGCTCCTTTTTGTTTACAATGTGCCGATGTAAAGGATGTACTTCCTACATTACTCCTTTTTGGTTTTTTTGTTTGTTTTTTGATTGTAAAATAGATTAAAAGCTGGCTTTTACGTGCCATTAACCCCTTAAGAACCAAACTTCTGGAATAGAAGGGAATCATGACATGTCACCCATGCCATGTGTCCTTAAGGGGTTAAACTAACCCCACTGCACAGCTTGTGGAAGGACCTAGTCCACAAAATGCATTATTTGAATGTGGGGGTGTTTTCTTTTCTATAGGATATCTCTGTTGGAAACCTGACAGACTAATCACCCTTTAAGTACTGGAGAAACTACCACATACCATAGACTTAAAGGAATACTATAGCGTCAGAAATACAAACATGTATTCCTGACACTACAGTGTTTAACTATTTAGGTGAGTAGGCCTTCTTTGATTGCATGGAAAAGGCGTTTTTACTCACTCACTTTTTTCCCATGTTATGCTGGTCTCGCCACAGCTGGCCCCGCCTCCATGGCTGAGATAATCAATCTTCAGGATCTCCCCCAATCCAATGCTTTCACATAGGATACGCATGCATCTCTATAAGGAGAGTCCATTACCTGTAGCAGTGCGACCGTGGAGGGAAGCAGATCCACGTCCTTGGATAGCTCCACTAGAGGGGAAAAACTGCCTATGGTGGAACTGGGTATTGCCAGAGTTCCAAGTGTCCTATGGTCAAGGTCTGAAGCCCGTGAGGCGGCTCTGCCAGTCACTCAGTCTCTGTAGCGACCAGCTCTCCAAGAAAAACGTTGTGTTCAAAATACCTTGCAAAGGGAGGACTGCGCTTTAGTTAGTGTAGTAAATACGGAAACATGTTTACTTAGTTCTTTTATGAACTTGTCTCCAAATAACATCCCTTGAGCCTCAGGACCAAGTTCAATAATGCCTAATTCAGCCAGCTTGGCATCAATTTTGTATAGGATGGCCTTCCGCTGTTCCCTTGAGATGGCAACACTGGCATTGCCTAAGAGGCATAATGCCCTCAGTACCCATTCTCACACCATATGTGCATCAAAAGTGCCATCTGCAAAAGCCTCATCTGCAATAATGAAAATCTGGATGAGTGAGCCTGCAACATCCATAAGTTTATGCTGAGTGGCTTTCAGGTCTTCTTCTAAGCCTTTACCAGGGTCTCTCCCCAACTTCTTCAGAAAAGTTACAAGAAAAGGGTCAAATTTGGTTTGCCACCTTGTCTGGGATGATGGGTCGTGGGCATTCTGCCCTTAGAGAAGTCGGGGAGTCAGCGATGGCGTTGTACAGCCATGCCTTGAGTTCAGCAGAAACTGCAGGATCAGGCAAATACGACATATTGGTAATAATGGATATCAATAACAGTGGGGTCACCACTATAAAAACCACTTTTAAAAAAAAAAGAAAGTTATTTTTTATTTTTTTTATTTACTAACTATGCACAAAAAGCAATAAGCAGTGGACTTATTCAGGAATAGCCCAGAGAATAGTGAATAAATGGGTTAATCTTGAAAATTGAGTTCACCCAATGTAAAAGGACAGCAAAATGTCCAAAATCAATGACAGGTAAAAAATGTGTAATTAATAGAGGGGATTACCCTGTATTTTATAAACAATAAAGGATTCACCCTTAGTAAGGGGATCACTTCAGTGTAGAGGCTATAGGGGGTCACCCTCAATATAGAGGTTAGAGGGGGTCACCCTCTTAACAGTGCAAGGATTTAGTACAGTAGTTTTTATTTGAGGGATCTGCAAAAAAGAAACAAAAGGATTTGCATCAGACAAGAATAAACTCCTAAATGTGTATGGATAGATCCTATACTACAAGAACTCTAATATTTACTTACCTATTAGCTTGATCGCGAAAGGGGTGAAGAGCCAAAATGATCCGTACACATTATACAAGGTACAAAGCGCAGGAAAAGGAGTTACGAAAATGGCCACGAACAGAGAAGCCGGGAAGCGTCTCTATGGAAACGTGATAAGGTAGTACGAACAGTGCGCAGGAAGACGGAATGGCTGAATGGTCCGGCAAGATGCCATTCATTTCGATTAAAAAAAATAAAGTATGAAATACACTTACAAAAACTGATGCAGGACAAAGCATTTAAATAATTGCAATGCTATTCAAAGCATCTGCCCACCACTCCAAGTTTATTCTACATTAAACAGTTCACTGATTTTGCTCTCCATGCCTTTCACTTCCAGGTCTGTCTTCAGCAAAGCCACCAATGTCTATAGGTTCATGAGAAGACATCACAAGGGGCTCTCAAACAGGTATATCATGTTCTTATTATTAGTTACATACACTGATCAGCCACAACATTAAAACCACCTGCCTCATGCTGCCAAGGCGTGGACTTCACAAAACCTCTGAACGTGTCCTCTGGTATCTGGCATTAACAGATTATTAAAATTCTGCAAGTCCGACGTGAGACTTCCATGGATCAGATTTGTTGTTCCAGCACATCCACAGATGCTCAATCATTCTTGCTGAAAGAGGCCACTGCAATTAGGGAACACCATTACCATGAAGGTGGTTTACAACAGTCTCTTGGTAGTTGGTACACAGCAAAGTAACATCTACAACTTTTCCTAGCAGAACATTGCCCAGAACTTAACACTGCCTGCCTTCTTCCAATAGTGCACCTTGCTAATGATGTGGCTGAGAACTGAGAAGTGTAGGTCCCAATGTTAATGTCCGGTAAATCAGGATACTGTTAGGATGGGTTAAAGGAAGTAGGCCAGTGACATGAATTGCATCACTAGTGCTATCCAAAGGGGGAAGACTCACCCAGAATGGGGGGTAGGTCAGCCTGCCTTAAATACACGGCAAACTGCCTGCCAATCAAGCAGATTGCCCACTGAGGGCAGGCCATACAGTGAGCACTATTTGTATGCTCTCTGCATAATCTAGTGCCCTGAGTGTAGCGTGAGTGCATCTAATGATTTTTGGGGACAGTTCCCTATTGTCCTCAAAAGCGAGACACCAGGGAACAAAGTCGGGAAGGCAGGACTGGACCCTAAAATAGGGACTGTCCTGCCAAAATCGGGATTACGCTGCTCTGCCATTAAGCTAGTACAATTAATTAAGGACTTCATATCATATTCTCTATCATATTCATATCTTTTTCTCTCACTGGATATGTACGTTTGATACTTAATCTTTAGAAACCTGACTTTTCTTTTATATCTGTAAGCATGCTGAGGGCGACCAAATTTTTATTTTTATTGTTCAATTCCATCTATAAACTAGTATTTATTAATATTGGTTAGATAAGCCAAGACTTGTATAGTCAGTCTAATAAAGCAAAGATAAAAAAATACCCTTTAAAAAGCAGAAAGGACAGTAATAGGGTTTATCTACAAATTGTGACTCTCTCTAGTCAATACCCTGTATATCAAATAATATACACACTGTTCCAAATTATTATACAAATGATATTTTTCTCATTTACCTAAATAATATATGTAAATAACAGTCAGCATAATTCTCATGTTATCAACTATTAAGAGTACAATTCACATTTTATTGAACAAACCTCCTAATGATGCAAACTTACAATGCACTGTTCCAAATTATTACGCACAGTAAGTTTCAAAACACTTAATAGGTTGTAAAGAACTAAAAATTGTCATTTGTTGTGTTTGCAGCATATTTACTGAAATCAAAAGCTATTTCAATCAAACGTATAACAACATTTTAACTTTTTAAACATTTTAACAGGTCACGTTGCATTTGAACATAGGACCCCTTATTTGATAGCATCTTCACAAGTCTTGCATCCATTGAACTTGTGAGTTTTTGGACAGTTTCTGCTTGAATTTGTTTGCAAAATGTCAGAATAGCCTCCCAGAGCTGCTGTTTGGATGTAAACTGCCTCCCACCCTCATAGATCTTTTGCTTGAGGATGCTCCAAAGATTCTCAATAGGATTGAGGTCAGGGGAGGGTGGAGGCCACACCATGACTTTCTCTCCTTTTATCCCCATAGTAGCCATCGATGCAGAGGTATTCTTTGCAGCATGAGATGGTGCATTGTCATGCATGAAGATGATTTTATTGCAGAAAGCATAGTTCTTCCTTCTGTACCAGGGAAAAAAGTGGTTAGTCAGAAACTCTACATACTTTGCAGAGGTCACAATTACACCTTCGGGAACCCTAAAGGTGCCGACCAGCTTTCTTCCCATGATTCTGGCCCAAAACATGACTCCACCACCACCTTGCTGACATCACAGCCTTGTAGGAACAGGGTGGCCGTCCACCAACCATCCACTATTCCATCCATCTGGACCATCCAGGGTTGCACAGCACTCATCAGTGAACAGGACTGTTTGAAAATTAGTCTTCGTGCATTTTTCTGCCCAATGCAGCCATTTCTGCTTGTGAGCATTGGTTAGTGGTGGCCAAATAGAAGGCTTATGCACAGTTGCAAGACTCTGGAGGACTCTACACCTTGATGTCCGTGGGACTCCAGAGGCACCAGCAGCTTCAAATATCTGTTTGCTGTTATGTAATGGTATTTTAGCAGATGCTCTCTTGATCCGATGCATGGATCTGGCAGAAATCTTCCTCAATGTGACTTTATCTGCACGAACCCGTCTGTGCTCTGAATCAGCCACAAATCTCTTAATAATGCGATGATCACGCTTACGTTTTCGTAAAATATTTAATGTTTTCATACCTCGTCCAAGGCATTGAACTATTTCACTCTTTTCGGCAGCAGAGATATTCTTTTTCTTCCCCATATTGCATGAAAATGGTGCTCTGCTTAATAATGTGGAACACCCTCCATTAGTAGTTTTTCCTTAAATTGGGCTCACCTGGCAATCTAATTATCACAGGTGTCCGAGATTGTTTTCAGTGATCAAAAGAGCCCTGAGACACAATGCCATCCATGAGTTAAACTGAAAAACAAAATATTTAATCTTTGTGACACTTAACCTCTTAAGGACAGAGCTTCAGAAGCTTGTCTTTCACCTAATGACAACAGCATTTTTTCATTTTTTGCTGTTTGCGTTCAACTGCAATTTGCATTTTACTAATTTATTGCACCGACACATATTATATATTGTTTTTTAAAGGACAGAAAGGGATTTAATTTGATGTAACACACATATATATATAAATGCTTATTTATTATAAAAAAATACAGAAAAATGCAAAAAAAATGAACATTTTTGTGTTTTTTTTACAGTTTTTACAATAATAATGTGTGCATAATTAGTGCAGGTTAAGGAAAGTAATTCAAAATAAATTAATTTAGTTGTTCTGATTTACTGAATATATAATGTGTCTTGGAATTTAAGTTTTTATTTGGTAGTTACAGGTCACAAAGCACAAAGAGTAAAATAAACTTTTAATGTGGAGCGATTTTAGAATTTGGTATGTTTGTCTTGTAAGCTTAATAGCCATAAAAGAAAACAAAATTGCCACACAAAAGTATATATTTATATAAAGTAGACATCACAGGCTATTTACCTAAGGTTGTTTTGACACTTTCTACGTAGCCATTTCACCGCCAACCTCTGCTAAATATTGGACTAAAATTGTGGTTTTTTTCACCAATATATGCTAAAGTATGTGATAAAAAAATAATTTTGTGCATTTTTTACATATGGATTGCATTTTTGCTGGGCATTTTATATATTTCACATGTGGCACTAAATTCAAACCACCCAAATTATGCTCGGCTAAGTCTTCTGAGTAAAAAGACACCCCCAATGAATGTCTTTGGCACTATTTCGTGAAGCTACAGTGCCATATAGGAGACCAAGCCATATAAGTTTTTACCGAACTTTGAATTTTGACGCTTGGCCTATGTGCAAATTCCAAGCATCTTAGCAGGGTTTAAATTCAAACAACCCGACAAAGGCCTACCATTTCTTAAAGTAGACACCCCAAGGTATTTCAAAAGGTATATTTTGAACCTTAGCGTGGGATCATTTTTCCGCTAGCTTGTACCAAGTGTAGTGGTAATAAGTGTTTTTTCTGCCTTTTTGACACACAAAGTGAGTTTGCACAGTATATTTTGCAAACCTTATGTGTGCTACCAGTGTATAATACCTCATATGTTGCTCAGCTATGTTGGCTGAGTACAGCAATATCCCCGTATGTACCTTTGCCAGGTATATGTGGACATCGGAGGGGCACATTTGGGACACAGCCATTCCGTTTTTTTTAAACTTTACATTTTTACGCTGTGCCCATGTCCCATTATAGAGTATTTTACCTGGCTATATAATCCAAATACCCCATGAAGCCATACCATTTCTTAAAGAAGACATCCCAGGGTATTTCAAAAGGCATATTTTGAATCTTAGCGTGAGATCATTTTTCCGCTAGCTTGTTCCAAGTGTAGTGGTAATAAGTGTTTTTTCTGCCTTTTTGACACACAAAGTGAGTTTGCACAGTATATTTTGCAAACCTTATGTGTGCTACGACTGTATAATACTTCATATGTTGCTCAGCTATGTCGTCTGAGTACAGCAATACCACCGTATGTACCTTTGCCAGGTATATGTGGATGTTGAAGGGGCGCATTTGAGACGCAGCCATTCAGTTTTATTCTAACTTTGAAGTTTTACGCTGTGTCCATGTTACAATTTGGAGTAGTTTAGATGGTTGGTTATTGAAACTTCCCCACAAACACATACTATTTATTAAAGAATACACCCTGGGGTAATTCAAAAGGCATATTTTGAACCTTAACGTGGGATCATTTTTCCTCTAGTTTGTTCCAGGTGTAGTGGTAATGAGCATTTTTAAATGTATTTTTTTACTTTTTGAAACTTTTTTTACTTTTAAAAACTAGTTTTTAAACTTTTGTTTTGCTTATTATTTTTTTTAAACTTTCCTAAACTTTCTTAAAACTTTTTTTACAGATTTAACATTTTTCTAAGCTTTTTTTTTTTACCTTTAACCCCTAACTAGCAGTAAGCAGCATAACAGTAAATTCCCCATTTTCCTATAACTCCCATCCACCCCAGCTAGCAAAATATATAATTATAAAATATTTAAATTAATTAAATAAATGGATCCCCTGAGGGTTTAAAAATAAATAAAAGGGAATCCTCAGGGGTTAAAAAAAATTAGATCTCAGTATAATACTGTGATCTGTATTTTGATCACTGTAGGCAGTGATCGACTGGCAGGGAAGGGGTTAATTTTTATTTGGACTGGGTAAAGGGGGGTGTTTTTTTATTTTTTCCTTAAACATTATTACAACTTTTTTTTAGCTTAATTTTTAACTTTTTAAAGTTTATTTTAAAACTTTTTTTAAAGTTAACCCCTAGTTAGCCTAACACCAAATCCCCCAATTCCCCACTAACTTCCACCAACCCCAGCTAGCTAAACGTATAATTTTAAAATATTTAAATTAATTAAATAAATTTAACCCTTAAGGGTTACAAAACAAAATAACCCTCAGAGGTTAAAAAAAAAATCAGATGACAGTAATATGTAATCCCTGCCAATTGATCACTGTAGCCAGTGATCAATTGGCAGGGAAGGGGTTAATTATTAATTAAAACGAGTAAAGGGGGTGGGATTTTAAATAAACTTTATTTATTTTTTTAACAGGGGGCAGGATCATCACTGATCCGTCTCCCTGCACTTCACACAGAACCAGGAAGTGCAGGGAGGCGGAAGGTAAGTATACTAAGCACATGTGCGAGCAGTGCTGGGCAGTACTATCGGGTGCTCCCGGTCTGCCTCTAATACAGAGGCAGACCGAAGCACCATTAACCCCGCGATCGCCGTGATAGCGGCGATCCGGGGTTAATTTTAACGGGTGACGGATAAGGTTCGTCACTCGTCGTTATGGCAGGGAAGGGGTTAATTTTTATTTGGACTGGGTAAAGGGGGGTGTTTTTTTATTTTTTACTTAAACATTATTACAACTTTTTTTTAGCTTAATTTTTTACTTTTTACAGTTTATTTTAAAACTTTTTTTAAAGTTAACCCCTAGTTAGCCTAACACCAAATCCCCCAATTCCCCACTAACTTCCACCAACCCCAGCTAGCTAAACATATAATTTTAAAATATTTAAATTAATTAAATAAATTTAACCCTTGAGGGTTACAAAACAAAATAACCCTCAGAGGTTAAAAAAAAAAAATCAGATCACAGTACTATGTAATCCCTGCCAATTGATCACTGTAGTCAGTGATCAATTGGCAGGGAAGGGGTTAATTATTAATTAAAATGAGTAAAGGGGGTGGGATTTTAAATAAACTTTATTTATTTTTTTAACAGGGGGCAGGATCATCACTGATCCGTCTCCCTGCACTTCACACAGAACCAGGAAGTGCAGGGAGGCGGAAGGTAAGTATACTAAGCACATGTGCGAGCAGTGCTGGGCAGTACTATCGGGTGCTCCCGGTCTGCCTCTAATACAGAGGCAGACCGAAGCACCATTAACCCCGCGATCGCTGTGATAGCGGCGATCCGGGGTTAATTTTAACGGGTGACGGACAAGGTTCGTCACTCGTCGTTATGGCAATCCCCTGAGTGACGAACCTCGTCCGTCACTCGTCGTTAAGGGGTTAAATAGAATTTGCATAATAATTTGGAACAGTGTGTATGTGCCCATGTCCCATTATAGAGTATTTTACCTGGCTATATAATCCAAATACCCCATAAAGCCATACCATTTCTTAAAGAAGACATCCTAGGGTATTTCAAAAGGCATATTTTGAACCTTAGCGTGGGATCATTTTTCCGCTAGCTTGTACCAAGTGTAGTGGTAATAAGTGTTTTTTCTGCCTTTTTGACACACAAAGTGAGTTTGCACAGTATATTTTGCAAACCTTATGTGTGCTACCACTGTATAATACTTCATATGTTGCTCAGCTATGTCGTCTGAGTACAGCAATACCACCGTATGTACCTTTGCCAGGTATATGTGGATGTTGAAGGGGTGCATTTGAGACGCAGCCATTCAGTTTTTTTCTAACTTTGAAGTTTTACGCTGTGTCCATGTTACAATTTGGAGTAGTTTAGATGGTTGGTTATTGAAACTTCCCCACAAACACATACTATTTATTAAATAATACACCCTGGGGTAATTCAAAAGGCATATTTTGAACCTTAGCGTGGGATCATTTTTCCTCTAGTTTGTTCCAGGTGTAGTGGTAATGAGCCTTTTTAAATGTATTTTTTTACTTTTTGAAACTTTTTTTACTTTTACAAACTAGTTTTTAAACTTTTGTTTTGCTTATTAATTTTTTTAAACTTTCCTAAACTTTCTTAAAACTTTTTTTACAGATTTAACATTTTTCTAAGCTTTTTTTTTACCTTTAACCCCTAACTAGCAGTAAGCAGCACTAACAGTAAATTCCACATTTTCCTATAACTCCCATCCACCCCAGCTAGCAAAATATATAATTATAAAATATTTAAATTAATTAAATAAATGGATCCCCTGAGGGTTTAAAAATAAATAAAAGGGAATCCTCAGGGGTTAAAAAAAAATTAGATCTCAGTATAATACTGTGATCTGTATTTTGATCACTGAAGGCAGTGATCGACTGGCAGGGAAGGGGTTAATTTTTATTTGGACTGGGTAAAGGGGGGTGTTTTTTTATTTTTTACTTAAACATTATTACTAATTTTGTTTTAGCTTAATTTTTAACTTTTTAAAGTTTATTTTAAAACTTTTTTAAAGTTAACCCCTAGTTAGCCTAACACCAAATCCCCCAATTCCCCACTAACTTCCACCATCCCCAGCTAGCTAAACATATAATTTAAAAATATTTAAATTAATTAAATAAATTTAACTCTTGAGGGTTACAAAACAAAATAACCCTCAGAGGTTAAAAAAAAAATCAGATGACAGTAAAATGTAATCCCTGCCAATTGATCACTGTAGCCAGTGATCAATTGGCAGGGAAGGGGTTAATTTTTAATTAAAATGAGTAAAGGGGGTGGGATTTTAAATAAACTGTATTTATTTTTTTAACAGGGGGCAGGATCATCACTGATCCGTCTCCCTGCACTTCACACAGAACCAGGAAGTGCAGGGAGGCGGAAGGTAAATATACTAAGCACATGTGCGAGCAGTGCTGGGCAGTAATATCGGGTGCTCCCGGTCTGCCTCTAATACAGAGGCAGACCGGAGCACCATTAACCCTGCGATCGCCGTGATAGTGGCGATCCGGGGTTAATTTTAACGGGTGACGGACAAGGTTCGTCACTCTTCGTTATGGCAATCCCCTGAGTGACGGAGCTCGTCCGTCACTCGTCGTTAAGGGGTTAAATAGAATTTGCATAATAATTTAGAACAGTGTGTATGTTCTAGCTATCCAGCTTGTTATGTGAAGGTAAGTAGCTAAATAAGCAACTCTATTTACAGAGACAGCTACCTGTGACTAATCTTCACTGGAGAGAAATAACTAATAAAATTAGTAGGTATTATTGTATATGTCACAGTTAAAGTGCAGAAATCAATTAATGTGCACATTACCTAGTTAATGTGCACATTAACTAGGCTGATCAGTTAAAGTGCAGAAAATTGTTTCATTTCTCAAAGATTTCTCACATTACCTAGGTAATCTGCACATTACCTAGTTAATCTGCACATTACCTACTAGGGACTAGTTAAAGTGCAAAATAAGATATTTTGCTGGAACAACAGCAACGTTTAAGAAGCAAGTTAGTACAATCAAACGAGAATCAAGTTAATATAATGTTATTTATTTAGCAACAAAGAAGCAAGTTTCTGTTACAAAACTGCAATAGAAAGAATCAAACGATTAAGGAAATTAATTTGCTAAACAAACATATTATAAAACTATGCTTACTTATTAGTGCAATCTAAAGATTGGCGACACTTTGAATTAGATAGCAATCGTTTTTTGCGACAAGCACACCTATTTGTGGTACATTTTCGATTTGCAGTCACAATTTCTGAAACCATGCCGAGTACCAAGGGATTGTTTGATTACTGTTTAACATAAAGATATTTCTACAGCAGGGACATCTTCTTTCGTTAAAAATATCTCTTTGCAAACACTGAATTCCGATTTGGCATACAATTGTTTTTCAAAATACCCATTTTAGTACCAAGTTTATAAAAGCCATCCTCTGTTTTACTAAGAACCACAGATAAAAATCGAGCGGCCATCAGTTTTTGCTCTGTCCACTTCGAGTACTTTAATTCTCACAGTGACACTTTCGTCGACATTTGGCTGCTTTGCATTAGAAACTGCTAACATTTTCTTTGCTTGCTTTTCTAAACCTTTCTAAACCACATAGTCACATACCTCCTCTTCAAAACAGTTATCCAGAACTGGTAAGAAATGAGGAGCCCCCCACCACCAAAAGAGAGCGAGCGCCTTCCTGCACATTATGCAGCAATCACCCTGAAATGATCCAGCAGATGCTCTCCACTGTTCTCAATATCATCATCATCATCATATTTGAAGGACTGTCGGAATCAGTGGTCCATGAGCAGACCTCTACTTGGTCTCATTCTCCTCAATGAGAAGTATTTCTCAGACTTACGGAGCAGCATTGTTGTTAGTAGCCAGCCCCCTCTGAAAAGCGTCTACGCTTTGAGAATTCGAATAGAGAGCATTGAAAAGGAATCTTTCTGCATTCAGACGAGAAGTGAACGACTCTGCATGGACTGCACTGAAAGGGTGAAACAGGTTCTGCTGCGAGGACGTTTTGTAATAAATATTTTCCTCTTTACCGAGGGAAAGAAACAAACTTTTGCACTGAAAGAGGGTGAAACAGGTTTCTGCACGAATGTTTTGTAATAAATCATTTCCTCTTTACCCAAGGGGAAAGAAAGAAACATTTTGCACTTTAACTAGATGGAAGCAGTTAATGTGCACATTACCTAGGTAAAGTGCGAAAAACTCTTGATTCCTCACTTTAACTGAGCAAATTAGTTATTCTGCAGATTAACTAGGTAATGTGCACATTAACTGATTTCTCACTTTAACTGTAACATATACACTCAGAGCACTTGCTATTATGTATAGATACTCTATTTAAACAAAATAAAGTGTAACCAATAGTACACAAACTGAAGTTACAGTTAAAAAGTAACAAACAAGGTAAAAAAAAATATCAAACAGGATAACATTAAAGGAACATTATAGTCAACAAAACAACTTTAGCTTAATTAAGCACTTTTGCTATATAGATCATGCCCCTGCAGTCTCACTGCTAATTTTTTTTTCTATTTAAGGTAAAGTGACTGACACAGCCTGCATGAAAAAAATTGTTTCATTCCAAATACATGTTATTTACAACTTATTTTAAAAATGTTTATACCTTGCTCAGTAAATCAAACTTTTTTTATTATAATTCTTTATTTTTGTAGTTCATAGTTTGACATTCTGGAATGCAGAAATATTTCACAAGATGGATTACGACAAGACATAAATGCAACAACCATACGAAATGTCAAGAGATGGCTGCACTTTTTGGATAGTTAGAAAAATAATAAATGTTAAATCATAGGCTAAACATACATGTCTGGGTCAAATTGGTGTTTCAAGCTTTTGAAGTAACAGTATAACATGGCAATAATATGTTAATGAGAATTAAACCTCTGGTATCAGCAGCGCTTTCCTGAGACCATTGCATTCAGAGGAAGATGGAGATTAAAACATTTTAAAACAAGAAAAACAAAATGGTGGTTACCGAAATTGCTAGGCCCTAATGTTTGGCTGATAGGTCAACATATGCTGGTTTACAGGTGCTCAGCCGACTCCCACAGTTGGTAGACTCAGAATGGTACTGAAAAGTCCGCTGGGACGACCAGCCAGGCAGAGCTAGAGGGCAATTTTCCTTCAGCCCCAGGCAGGTCGGAAAGCCAACACTCCAATGCCACTGACCCAAGAGCTCATCGAGTTCAAGTTCCACCCATGGGGGAGAATACAGAAAGCCCGGATGTTTAGGCTCAGATACCAATTAGTGGTTCTCCGCTTAAGTGGCGGTGCGGTGGTTGCAAGCCCCGACAGGCCCTCAGCTATGGAGAGCGGGTGAGTAGTGAGACTCGAGCTTGTGAGGTTGGTTTGCCATGAGGGGTTCCCCCTGACTCTTGTCTCCAGAATCTATGATCGCTATCAGATCATGGGAAATGCGATGCTGCCAACCTCTCTGCTAGTTGTGCCCAGAAGTGCTCAAATGCTGCTTCCAGATGTGAAAGGATATTAGTGGCATAGTCCTGTTGGTCTGAGCAGTCTAGAGGTAGGCTCTGCAGCTCAGGAGTATTTGTCACCACCATTTTGAGTGTTGCTGGCACCCTAAACTTTTAGGAACGATTCTGCGTGTGCAGCAGAGTTGTGTTTGATGGTCCAGAGGGGACCATCTCAAATTTCTGCAAAGCAGGGAGTGCGACCGTCTTTTCCCAGCTCAGTCACTTGTAGGCCACTGATTGACACCGTGGGCCCCCAACTACCAAGCTTTGACAAGCCAGGGGATCTCATCCCTTCAGTATAGTTTTATATTGGTAGGGTATGTGATGTCTATACCGGTTAAATATAATTTAATAGTGTTAAAAGATCATTTTAAGTTAAGGTGCTAAAAATAAGTGAAAGCGACCGTTGTCTCCATGGAAAACTTGTTTACAATATTAAATTCTAACAAAAAACTGTTGAAAATGCAGAATGCCCTGTCATAGGATTTTTTAGTATTATCAGAAAGACAGCTGTGAGAGGTGCCAGCCATGAGTCAAAAGATTGTCTAATTCATAGTAATTTCTTGCCACAAGGGTTCAGGGATAGCTGCCTGGGCTGCCATTGGTAACGCTCTGTGGAATTCCTGAAATCGAGAGTGAGATGGGAGATCAGTGGCAACATTATGAATGCCTGGAAACACACCAAGGAAAAATGATCGTTAGCAGCTAGCCAAATCAGTTTTCTCAGGAAGCACATTATGGTCAGAGACACTGAGCGTTCTTTATTGATTATGGGACACGTAGCCAAGTTATCTGAGAAACACCTAATAGTTTGGCCTGACCATAACGCACTCCAAGCTACCAATCGGGGAGAGCTCAAATAAGGCTGAAGTGGCAGTAACAGAAATAGTAATGATCCCAAAGCACACCAGGGTTTTGCACATAAAAAAAATGTGTTTATTCATGCAGAAAGAGTACATCAAAATTTCATGACAGAAACTTATAGTACCAAAACCACAATAATAGTAAAGTGGTAAATGCAACCACCCATTAAAAGGGTATACTGACCAAGAGCAGGAGAAATTAAAACCCCAACGTTTTGACTATGAAGCCTTCCTCTGGGGGACCCAACACATCCCCTGAAGTGGATTAAACTGAAAAAGAATGTGAAACATTTTAAGTCATATGGTAACCAACTGTGTGAAATAAGCAAATTGAAACTCAACATTAAAATTGTATCAAAATTGTATATATATAAATTAAACTAGAATATTTAGACAAAGCAAAATCACATTCCAAGACCTAAGTCAAACATTCTTTGTATGGTAAAACAATGAAAATCGACCAACCTGTAACTACAGGGACACACTGAAACCTGTACGAAAGGGAAACAACACATTAGTAAACAAAGACGAAAACAAGGGAGAGAAAATGGAAAGAAAATACTTGCCTCCTGTAATTATCAAAATTAAAATTATTAGTGTACTAGCATGATCTTCAATTTTACAACATGACAGAATGAGGATTCATATTTTGCATTTTTAAGACTGAGATAGAAGAGAAAATTCAGCATTAGCAGAGTGATGGAAATAAAACATTTAAAACTAATCATAGACAGTAAGGTCCCAAGCAGATTGTCTAGTATAAATCAGTGAGACACCTAAGCAGAATAACTGGGGCTCACCCAGCACACGAGGCTGCAACTGCAGGCTCCCTTCAGCAGCCAAATAGCAGTAGAGCAGAATATAGGTGTAACGGACCGTTTTGCACACAAGGGGTAAAAACCATTTAGGCGATCGGCCCCCTTTCCAGAGATACAGGCACAGCTACTGCAGAACACCAAACTCCCGAACTGGATACAAAATAGCACTCCAACTCCCGAACTGGAACCTCCCAAATAGCTGCTAGCAGACGAACAGGAAAAGCAGACAATCAGCTTACACTCCTGGCAATCAGTCTCTAACAGCATACAGTGAATCCCCCCAAGAACGAGACAAGGCTCCGTGTTGAGGGTCAAGCAGTGGTCTGAGGTGCTGGCACACCCAGCCTGGTTTTTATTACAGTCTTGCAAATACAGGACCGCCCACAGGGAGGTATAAAATATCCAGTAACATATTAGTTACAACCCACAGATTCCCTCCCCCTTATCCTGAGAGGTAACCCAATACACATACCTTTTACCACAATGCATCCTGGCTTCCTCTCCTCTGCCCTGGAGATAAGTGAGAAGTAATTCAATTATCTCCCAGGACAGGGACAAGACTCCATTATGCACATGGTGACACAAAGACAGTAAAACACTTTAAAATACATAAAGTCACATTTGTTACATAACACACAGACATTTAACATATCCCCAGATAGCTTAGGTCAGAGCGCACATTATTAAGTGAATGGCGCTCAGACCACACGAATACAGTTTAATCGCCATGGAGCCAAAGTCTTTACAGTCAGTTTCATATGAATGGGCTCCATGGGATTCCTATCTGGGGTATAACACATTCAAACAAATCTACCGAACCCCAGGCAGAAAAGCATGAATGAAGCTTTTCTGCAGGTAAAAAAGATGTCTTTTAACAGGGGGCCATAGTCCAAAGGTAGCAGGGGAGCAACCAGGCTTCTCCAATGCAATGTGGCGAGATTGGTCTCGTCACAATAGGTACATATGTTTATGGTGTAACATACAAAAATCATTAATGGCATGGGGACTCACCTTTAAGAATGAGAGTAGAAGTACCCCCGAATATGGAACAGACTGGCCTGTTCTGTATCTTAGTAAGGCAATCAGGAGGCCAATTGTAGGGAGCAATGACCGCTCCTGTCTGAATTCAGCAGTGTATCGACAGTAGGAAACAGTGACTGAGGCAGGTAACTCGAAATCGCGCCGTCATCTCGTAAGATGCGAAAAGGAAAGATGGCCACCACGAGAGAGGAGAGAACGCCAAGGAGCTGAAATCTGTCCGAATCCTGTGTGGGTAGTGCCGCTTGAAGCAGATGAGAGCAGGGAAGTGGTACCGCAATAGGGCAGTAGTCCAATGCCAAAATAGGGGCAGAATTCCCAGAAATATCCAAGAAAGACCCAGCTCCAGGTAAGGAGACACAGAATGGACAAAAAAGGCAATCACAGAGAACATAAAGGACGCTAACACTCCAGCAACACTAAGTAAATCAAATAATAACAAGAGATAATTCAAGTAATAATGCTAGCATGAGGTTAAAAACCCCAACAACAATGTCAGAATCCAAACCACTTACACGGAAGAGAAACAAAACTCTGACCTCACTGTGTGGAGCAGCAAATAAAGAGATAGTAATGCGTATGTACAGTATCTTTTACACATCTCACTTGGTTTTGATTGGCTTTCTTGTTCTGTTTTCTTTGCTGCTGTGGAGTTGAGTAAAGAGAATAATACAAAATATGAAGCCTCCTGTCGTGTTGTAAAATTGTTATAAACATAGCATTTCTTGAATTTTTTTCAAAACATATTTATTAATTTACATAAAATAAACTTGGGAAAAAATATGTTCTAAGACTGAATATCTATCACTGCCAAAATAAAATATAACAAAAGAAGAACCATGAACAAGTTTAAACTGTGTTGTGTCAGCAGGTGTTCACTGCATCATAAATTATAAAACCAAACATCTTGCAACAGAATAATTGAGTTTAATTTGCATAACACAGTAGATATCAATTATATCAAATAATTATTTTACCAGATTAAAAAAGTTGCAGCATGAAACCGTAGTCATAAACAGAAATAAACACGACTCTCCTAACATGGTGGCTGTGTTCTCAGATCAGCTTGGTTAGCCCAGCTATTGAACTTTTCTCCATCCAACATTTTTTCAGACCGTCAACATTCTTCCCACCCCCATCCCTCCCACACAAACTGGACTATACATCTGGAGATTGATCAATAGGGAGCGTAGATCTCATTGCAAAACAGGATTTCCCATTTGCAGAGTAGGCACCTGCCTACAGACGCATTGAGTTGTCTTCAACTTGTTAAAAAGCTCATAGCCTCCTGCACACAATGATCTCCTGGAGGAAGATGAGAGAAGACTGTCCAGGAGAAGGAACAATACTGTGGCCTGAATGACCAACTCAGAAATGACAGGTTCACATACAGATACACAGCTACACATACTGTTCGCCAGACTGTACAAGAAGTGCTACTGCCCACACACAAATATACTGCAACCCACACTGTCAACACACACACACTACTGCACACACATGTTGCTACCCATACTGTTACACTCAAACACCTGCATATTGTTATCACAATGTGCACACACTCCTTCACACACACACATTTCTACACATGTTGCAACCCACACTATTACAAACACATATTTCTGCACACACTCTTCGCAAAATACACCCACTCACTCTATGCTCTATATGTGTGTGTGTACAGCAATTCTTATATTTATTCATTCAAAAGGGTGGTGGAATGGGGGGCACTGGAGAAGTCTGTGCCTACAGATACTCATAATATATAGCTGGCCCTGTCTCACTGTCAGGAATGACAAAATGGTTGATCACAGCTCAATAAGAAGCAGTTATTAGAATTAACCATGTAACTTTGATTGGGCTGCAGCTCTGAACGACATCCTACTTTGTAGGGTCGTTTGAAACATCTTGCTCAGAGACTGGGATTTCTCATAAGTAGTACATTGTGCATATATGGGAGCTGTAGCTGTTGTCTAAGTAGTACTCTCATTCAAGTACTGGGGTTTGTTCGATTCTTTAATGATAGAGGGAGGATATTGAAGAGAAACTATGTTTCTCAAATGTGTGCTTTGTATTTACATTTAAAGTTACTGTAGATATCAATTATACTTATCTCATTATTGATAAAAGTGAGTGTAGTTATTAACTCAATTACTACCATTTTCTAATAATTTTATTTCTCACATTTTCTAATAAAAAAATGTTCTTTGACTTATGAATCGCTGACAGCATTTACAGTTTAAAGGAACACTATAGTTACCTAAATTATTTTAGCTAAATAAATCAGTTTTAGTGTATAGATCATTCTCCTGCAATTTCACTGCTTAATTCACTGTCATTTAGGAGTTAAATCACTTTGTTTCTGTTTATG